AGTTTTCTAGAATTTGAAAGCAAGAACTCCTTTCTTTTTCTTTTTTTGGTATACCTACTTGAGCCGGATGAAAGGAAACTTTCACGTCCGATTTTGAGGGGGGGAGATCCTATCCCAATTTTTATTTTGCTAGGCCCATAGATAAAAAACCTACTTTTTTACGATTACGGGGTTTATTAGAATATGAAATTCAACCCTGGAAATACAGGATCCCCATTTTTTTTACTACCCGGAGCTTCGATACATTTCGAAATCGAGAGATGTCTACTGGGGGAGGTTCTATTAGACAACAATTAGCCAATCTAGATTTACGAATTATTATAGACTATTCATTGGTAGAATGGAAAGAATTGGAGGAAGAGGAACCCACAGGGAACGAATGGGAAGATCGAAAAGTTGGAAGAAGAAAAGATTTTTTGCTTAGACGCATGGAATTGGCTAAGCATTTTATTCGAACAAATATAGAACCAAAATGGATGGTTTTGCGTCTATTACCAGTTCTTCCTCCTGAGTTGAGACCAATCTATCATATAGATGAGGATAAACTAGTGACCTCGGATATTAATGAAATCTATAGAAGAATTATCTATCGGAATAATACTCTTACAGATCTATTAACAACAAGTATAGCTACGCCAGAAGAATTAATAATATCTCAGGAAAAATTGCTACAAGAAGCCGTGGATGCACTTCTTGATAATGGAATCTGCGGACAACCAATGAGGGATGATCATAATAGAGTTTACAAGTCGCTTTCAGATGTAATTGAAGGCAAAGAAGGAAGAGTTCGCGAGACTCTGCTTGGTAAACGGGTCGATTATTCAGGGCGGTCCGTGATTGTCGTGGGCCCTTCACTTTCATTACATCGATGTGGATTGCCTCGCGAAATAGCAATAGAACTTTTCCAGGCATTTGTAATTCGTGACCTAATTAGAAAACATCTTGCTTCGAACATAGGAGTTGCTAAGAGTCAAATTCGGAAAAAAAAACCGATTGTATGGGAAATACTTCAGGAAATTCTGGATGACCATCCTGTATTGCTGAATAGAGCGCCTACTCTGCATAGATTAGGCATACAGGCATTCCTCCCCGTTTTAGTGGAAGGGCGCGCTATTTGTTTACATCCATTAGTTTGTAAGGGCTTCAATGCAGACTTTGACGGGGATCAAATGGCTGTTCATGTGCCTTTATCTTTGGAGGCTCAAGCAGAGGCGCGTTTACTTATGTTTTCTCATATGAATCTTTTGTCTCCAACTATTGGGGATCCGATTTCGGCACCAACTCAAGATATGCTTAGTGGACTCTATGTCTTAACGAGTGGAAATCGTCGGGGTATTTGTGTAAATAGGTATAATCCATGTAATCGTAGAAACTATCAAAATGAAGATAATAACTATAAGTATACAAAAAAAAAAGAACCCTTTTTTTGTAATCCCTATGATGCAATTGGAGCTTATCGGCAAAAACGAATCAATTTAGGTAGTCCTTTGTGGCTGCGGTGGCGACTAGATCAACGCGTTATTACTGCAAGAGAAGTTCCCATCGAAATTCACTATGAATCTGTGGGGACCTATTATGAGATTTATGGACACTATCTAATAGTACGAAGTATAAAAAAAGAAATTCTTTATATATATATTCGAACCACTCTTGGTCATATTTCCCTTTATCGAGAAATAGAAGAAGCCATACAGGGGTTTTGGCAGGGCTGTTGTAATTCTATGCTACCAACGGGAATTCGAGTCTCTCCGGGTTAACTAGGACCATAAGTGCAGAATTTATACGTGAATCAAGATCTAGAAAAGGAAGTTTTCCAATCACTGACTCAAGCCCATTGTAAAATTCTACTCAGCGCAATATGGAGGTACTGATGGCAGAACGGCCCACTCAGGTCTTTCACAATAAAGTGATAGACGGAACTGCCATGAAACGACTTATTAGTCGATTTATTGATCACTATGGAATAGGATATACATCACATATCTTAGATCAAGTAAAGACTCTGGGTTTCCGACAAGCTACCGCCGCATCCATTTCATTAGGAATTGATGATCTTTTAACAATACCTTCTAAAAGATGGCTAGTTCAAGACGCTGAACAACAAAGTTTTATTTTGGAAAAACACCATCATTATGGAATGTACACGCGGTAGAAAAATTACGTCAATCGATCGAAATATGGTATGCCACAAGTGAATATTTGCGACAAGAAATGAATCCTAATTTTCGGATGACCGATCCTTTTAATCCAGTCCATATAATGTCTTTTTCGGGAGCCAGAGGAAATGCATCTCAGGTACATCAATTAGTAGGTATGAGAGGATTAATGTCGGATCCTCAAGGGCAAATGATTGATTTACCCATTCAAAGCAATTTACGCGAAGGACTGTCGTTAACAGAATACATTATTTCTTGTTACGGAGCCCGTAAAGGGGTTGTGGATACCGCTATCCGAACATCAGATGCAGGATATCTCACGCGCAGACTTGTTGAAGTAGTTCAACACATTGTTGTACGTCGAACAGATTGTGGCACCGTTCGAGGTATTTCTGTAAGTCCTCGAAATGGAATGATGACGGACAGGATTTTTATCCAAACATTAATTGGCCGTGTATTAGCAGATGATATATATATAGGTTCGCGATGTATTGCTACTAGAAATCAAGATATTGGGGTTGGACTTGTCAGTAGATTCATAACTTTTAGAGCACACCCAATCTCTATTCGAACCCCCTTTACTTGTAGGAGTACATCTTGGATTTGTCAATTATGTTATGGCCGGAGTCCAGCTCATGACGACCTGGTCGAATTGGGAGAAGCCGTAGGTATTATTGCAGGTCAATCTATTGGAGAACCGGGCACTCAATTAACATTAAGAACTTTTCATACCGGCGGAGTATTTACAGGGGGTACTGCAGAACATGTGCGAGCCCCTTCTAATGGAAAAATAAAATTCAACGAGGATTTGGTTCATCCGACACGTACACGTCATGGACATCCTGCTTTTCTATGTTCTAGAGACTTGTATGTAACTATTGAGAGTGAAGATATTATACACAATGTGTGTATTCCGCCCAAAAGTTTTCTTTTAGTTCAAAACGATCAATATGTAGAATCAGAACAAGTGATTGCTGAGATTCGCGCGAGAACCTCCACTTTGAATTTGAAAGAGAAGGTTCGAAAACATATTTATTCTGACTCAGAAGGCGAAATGCACTGGAATACTGATGTGTACCATGCACCTGAATTTACATATGGTAATATTCATCTCTTACCAAAAACAAGTCATTTATGGATATTATTAGGGGAGCCCTGGAGATACAGTCTAGGCCCTTGTTCGATCCACAAGGATCAAGATCAAATGAACGCTTATTCTCTTTCTGTCAAGCCAAGATATATTGCTAACCCCTCAGTAACTAATAATCAAGTGAGACACAAATTTTTTAGTTCGTATTTTTCTGGTAAAAATCAAAAAGGAGATAGGATTCCTGATTATTCAGAACTGAATCGAATGACATGTACGGATCATTGTAATCTCAGATATCCGGCCATTCTCGACGGTAATTCTGATTTATTGGCAAAGAGGCGAAGAAATAGATTCATCATCCCACTCGAATCGATTCAAGAAGGCGAGAACCAACTAATACCTTCTTCAGGTATCTCAATGGAAATACCCAGAAATGGTATTCTCCGTAGAAATAGTATTCTTGCTTATTTCGATGATCCTCGATATATAAGAAAGAGCTCGGGACTTACTAAATATGAGACTCGAGAACTAAATTCAATCGTCAACGAAGAGAATTTGATTGAGTATCGAGGAGTCAAGGTATTTTGGCCAAAATACCAAAAGGAAGTAAATCCATTTTTTTTTATTCCCGTGGAAGTCCACATTTTGTCCGAATCTTCTTCCATAATGGTACGGCACAATAGTATTATTGGGGCAGATACACAAATCACTTTCAATAGAAGAAGTCGGGTAGGCGGATTGGTCCGAGTGAAGAAAAAAGCAGAAAAAATGAAACTGATAATCTTTTCTGGAGATATCCATTTTCCTGGAAAGACAAATAAGGCATTCCGATTGATACCGCCAGGAGGGGGAAAACCAAATTCCAAAGAATACAAAAATTGAAAAATTGGCTCTATATCCAACGAATGAAACTTTCCAGGTATGAAAAAAAGTATTTTGTTTTGGTTCAACCTGTAGTCCATATAAAAAAACGGATGGTATAAATTTAGGAAGACTTTTCCCGCCGGATCTCTTGCAGGAAAGTGATAATCTACAACTTCGAGTTGTCAATTATATCCTTTATTACGACCCAATTCTTGAAATTTGGGACACAAGTATTCAGTTAGTTCGGACTTCTTTAGTGTTGAATTGGGACCAAGACAAAAAAATCGAAAAGGCCTGTGCTTCCTTTGTTGAAATAAGGACAAATGGTTTGCTTAGATATTTTCTAAGAATCGACTTAGCTAAGTCACCATTTCTTATACCGGAAAAAGGAACGATCTGTCGGGTTCAGGATTGATCTCTGAGAATGGATCAGATCGCGCTAATGTCAATCCATTTTCTTCCATTTATTCCTATTCCAAGTCAAGGATTAAAGAATCCCTTAATCCAAATCAAGGAACTATCCATACGTTGTTGAATCGAAATAAGGAATCTCAATCTTTGATAATTTTGTCATCATCCAATTGTTTTCGAATAGGCCCATTCAACGATGTAAAATCTCCCAATGCGATAAAAGAATCAATCAAAAAGAACCCCCTAATTCCAATTAGGAATTCGTTGGGCCCGTTAGGAACAGGTTTTCCAATTTATATAATTTTGATTTCTTTTCCCATTTAATAACCCATAATCAGATCTTGGTAACTAACTATTTGCAACTTGACAATTTCAAACAGATTTTTCAAATACTTAAATATTATTACTGATGAAAATGGTCAAATTTATAATCCCTATTCATGCAGTAACATCATTTTGAATCCATTTCATTTGAATTG